TGCAGAGACGGCTATAGCTAGCTTCCCAGTGCTGCACTTTAACTGGATGCGCCACCAGGGAGGGCCCGAGAAAAAATGTTTTCTAAGACTGCTGAATGATAAAGGAAATCTCATGAAACTGTATTATAGGAAAATAATTTATACACTGTGTATGTATGTAAAAGCAAACAAATATGTTAACTGTTGCTACTATCACTGAATTATGTAATTGTGAGGGAATTTTTCCTACACGTCATCATTTGGGTGGAGGGGAAAGCAGACTTCTAAAACACAGAATATTTAGGAGGAAGTGCAAGTAAGATGAGTTTAACTCTTAACACATGGAATCCGTGGCACGTGGAAAGAAGGTGTAAACTGTAAACATGAGTATGGAGCTCAGGGGAAGGGACCGAACAGAAACCAATACATCAGGTGTGGGTAAAGCCAAAGTGCTAAGGAAGGTCACTCCAGGTAAGGGGAGAGTTACAAGTATATAAGCCATAGGGCTGAACACTGAGGAGTAAAGAAGTTTAAGAGGTAGGCAGAGAAAGACAGCAAAGGCGTTGAGCAGAAAAAAGGTATGGCTAGAAAGGCAGAGTTTGAAAAGGCAGGAAACAGTAGTGTTACAATGTCAGTGGAGGAAAAGGAACAGGATGGACAAAGTCGTCAACCATGTCAAATGTAGGCAAGAGGTTAAGCAGAACAAGTGTTATCTGATCTACAACAAAAGAACACTAATGACTGGCAACAGTAGTTTCGAAGAAAGGGTAAGTACAGAAGCTAGAATGCATGACTCTGGAATGTGGGAATGTAGAGGCTGACTGTAAACTACTTTCAGCAGCATGAACAAGAAGGGAAAGTTAGAATGGAGATGGTGTTCAAAATGGGAAAAAGTTGTTGATTTATGTATGTCCCAAAGAGCTGAGAAGGGCTGAAGGTATACCAAGCACCTCTGCCCAAACAGAACAGCTGCCTGCTCTACTGAGACCATCACAGCTGTCATCACCAATTTTCTCCACTTCCTGCCCAAGATATGAGAGGTTTGTTGTTTGCTGTCTGTCATCGCCCCCATTACCATTCCTCCCATCCCAGAAGAATACTGGTTCTCACTCCTGCTAAAGCCAGTGCCTTTGGATACCAGCCTCACAAATCTCCAGTCACCTTACTCTATCAGTTACTCTTTCTCGTTTACTGTAGAGAGAGAGAAGCAAGAAAAGGACACCAAACACTGCTTGAGTGTCTATTTACTCAAAAATTATTGAGTTTCTACAACATTTCTCACCATGGATATAAAAACAAAATTCAGAATTCTTGCTTCTGGTGGGAGAAACAAGTCAGCCATCCATCTGTTCATTCAACAAATATTTATTTCGGTGCCCAATATAAGCCTAGAGTTGGGTATACACCCAGCAACAAAATTAAGTTTCTGGCCTTGTGAAATACACTATCAAAGTGGGGAAATACAAACGAATATACATACACAAATAGTAAGACATATACGTACACATACACAAATCATAGTGAGTGTCTGGAGAAAAATCAAGCAAGAAGGAAAGAGAGGAGTTATTTCATATAAGAAAGGCTGCAAAGACCTCACCAAGGAAATGACATTGATGCAATAATTTCAATGACTGCACAGCAAGTACCAAGGCCCTTGGACAGGAACATATCTGACGTGTTCAAGGAACAGTAAGAATGTCAATGTAGCTGAAGCAGAGCAGATGGAGCTAGGGGACACAGGTAAGGGGCGAGGTCAGGAAGGAACCAAAACACATCATGAGAACTGACTTCATCAAATGGCATATAGGAAGATATTAAAAGATTCTGAGAGGAATGTTAACAGTATCTGATTTCAGTTTAAAGGCCCACTTGTTGCTGAGGATCATGAGTGAGGAAGTAAGATAATAAAGGGTGATTGGGCAAACACATAACACTAAATATGAGTTAAGATGGTCTTCTCAAAGGAAGTCCTGAACAGATTCTGAAAATCAATTAAGAGCAAAAAGAGTGGGGAGTCAGAGAGTATCCCAAATAAAGGCATAATGCAGGAAACCCACAAGGATTCTGAAAAGATTTGGTGTTGCTATAGCCCAATATCAAGCAGTCAAAAACTATTTATGTATGTGTGTACATATGTGTGTATATATGTATATGTGTGTGTGTGTGTGTGTGTGTGTGTGTGTGTATACACAGGGCAGTCTCTGGTGGTGCAACAGGTTAAAGCACAGCACTATGAAGCTATCTGCAGCCACTGCAGCACTAAGCTCAATCCCCAGCCCATTAGATGACCCAAATAGTACAGCAGACCTCTCCTGAACCACCCACTGCTCCCCTCTTGTCTATCTGCCTGTTCTTCTCCCCACTCTGTTTCTGGTGAATCCTCTCACCTCCCCCACACCTCTGGCCTGTACCCCAGTTTTTGTATGCAGAAATAAATCTTTAAAAAATTACCCAGGACTAAACCTAATAAAATATTTTTGTGACCTTTATGGAAAAAAATTATAAAACTGGACATGTACATAAATTTCACAGTAGCACTGACAGACGCTAAGAGTAAAATATTTGCGAAGGCGGCATCTCAAGACAAGAAATTGAAGGTGGGAATAGAAATATTCAAAACAGTTGTCAAACAAGCTATTGAAAAGTAAAGGATCCAGCCACACAGACTGAGGCCCAAACCACAGGTGGGGATATGAAGGCTAAGGGCCAGTGTGAAAAAAAATCACCAGTCCTTTCAAATCAATAGAAACAATCCTTAGGCGCCAACACAAGAAATAATTAATTTAACAGCAGCTAACAATCCTACAAAGGAATGAACTCCTTTCCAAGAAAAGATGATTTTATCAATGCAATCTCTGCACTGGCAAGATGCAGCTCCCTGCCCACCTGTGACTATGCAGATGTCCCTCTTCACCAGCCTTCTCCCTTTGCAAAGCAGCAGAGGCAGCTCTCCTCCCAATACTGCACCTGTGACTGTGCAAGTGTCTCTTTTCATAACGCTGCCCTTGGAAAATAAACTACAACCATACACAACTTAACATAAATTTCAGAAACATAAAAGCCAACAGATATATATAGATATATATCTATCTATATATAGATAGATAGAGATAGATAGAATACATATATATAATGTAAGTGCATAGCCTAATTCCATTTACATAGAGTCTAAAACAAGCAAAACTGACCTATAGTGCTAGAGATTAACACAGCCATTTCCTCTAGACAGGGAAGAAGGGAACAATGATTAGAAAGAAGCACAAATGGATGGTTCTGGGTGCTAAAAATGTAGTATTTCTTTCTTCAACTGCATTCACTCTGATAACAAGGAAGACACTAACAATTTGTTATTCTGTATTGGTCTTTACTTCATTAAAACTAAAATTTATTGGTGTCTACAATTTACTATCAAAAGCAACCAGAAAAAAAAAAAACAAGTTGGATTGATGGACAGCAGAATGAACAGATTTGTTACAAAGCAATTACTATGTTAACAGCAGAACTGAAAAGGTGAACATAAAGAAATTCATTATAAATCTTCCAACTTTATCATTTGTTTTAAATTTTCTGCAATAAAATTGGGGGGGATCCTGATTTTTATTTATTTATTTATTCAGTTATTTTTGGGCAGATCTTCACAAGCTGTCTATAAAAATTCTGAAAAACTGAAAGGGCAACAAGAGCCAAAACAACTGTGTAAAAGAAAAGGGCAAGGAGAGGACTTATCCTAACAGACAGCAAGCCTAGTTATTTAGTGATAGTAACTAAAATGATATAGTATAAAACAGTAATGAAGAAAGGCCAGTGAAACAGATCAAAGTCTAAAAACAAACTCCTACAGAGAGAAAAAGAAAAAGCTGACATTAAAGATCAGTGAGGGAGGGCCCTCCCTGGTGGTACAGCAGGTTAAAGCACAGCACTAAAAAGCTAAATCACTGCAGCGTGAGTTCAGTCTCCACCCCAGAGGTGACCACATGGCCCGGGAGACCTCTCCTGACCCGCCCACTGCTCCCCTCAGCAGTGTACTTCCTCAGTAGGCCTGTTCTGCTCCCCACTCTGTCTCTGGAGAATCCTCTAATCCTCTTACTCCCCACACCTCTGGCCTGTACCCCAGTTCTGAATGCATAAATAAATAAATCTTTAAAAAAAAAAATCAATGAGGGAAAATCAGTACTATTCAATAAATAGTAAATCACAAAGTCATAGCTATCTTTAATAACTCAGAGAGAACATAAACAAGTTGCAGAAGAATACATACACTATCATTCTTTTTTCATATATATATACATATGGATGGATTTTTAAATGAGAGATAATAGTCTATATTGCTTGGCAATATATTCATATAATTAAAAAAAAAAAAAAAGCCAGCAGCAACAGCTGGCAATGAAATACCAGCTCTTGGGTAGTAGTTATCTTTGGGGCTGGCTGGAGATTCATGGAGAGGCCAGAAGCCAAGCAGTGCATTAAGTACGCAAGTATTTGCTGTATTACTTTTCATGTGCTTTTGGGAAATCTTAAGTATTTCTTAACAAATTTAAGGTTTTTTAACTTACAAAGTTTGAAAAATATACAGTTTGTACACAGATTTATAAACAGCTACAGGCTAGAGCAGAGACTAAAAATGGGGGAATGACAACAGAAGAAACTAAAGGAGCAGAAGGCGATCCTACAAAGTCTGCTAAAAACACTTCCCGAAACTTTTGTTTGTTTTTATTTTTATCCCTTTAGGCTAGTTACTGAAAAGTGTTACCCTTTAGTTCCTAATTCAGCAGAACACTACAGTTCAATAATTATTTGCTGAATTATTCAATTTATAGACAGGGTAAGGAAGGAGAAGCAGACAAGTCAGTTAGAAAGCAATTCCATAGCCCAGGTGAGAAATGTTGGACACAATGATGATCTAAATTTGCTATCTCTATTTTATCCAAAATATTAAGACCCTTTCAGGAGACATGAAGTAACATAGGTTTATAGACTAGAAAGAGCCTGATTCAAGAAATAGTTCCAAATCAACTCACCATTCTTCCTCTCACTAAGTGGAGGCAAATTGGGATTCCTGCCAGGTCGGAGGCCCAGGGTCAGCTCGGGCTGCAAGGAGAGCTCCTGCAGTTCATTGGCAACAGCTTCGCTCTGGGGACTGGGTGCCGCAGACAGGGACACCAGCACTGGCTCATCATCATTTTCGCCAGCCCCTCCTCCGTCCAGCCCACTCACAGCAATGACGGAAGGGGGCAGGCACACTACACTGGAGAAATCCACTTTGGCTTTCGTGATGGCAACCTGGAAATGGTAGAAGAAACAAAAAAGTAGATGTCACTCAGATTGTTCCATTGAGTGCATAGGGAATACTAATATTATAAATATATTTTTGGTTATTACTATTATTTTTTAAATTTTTTGTAAAGTAAGTGCATCATTGTTAAGTTACTATTTATGATAGAGAGTACATGAGTCGCAAGCCACATAATGCATTCAACTGCATCACTTAAGACAACAACATTACCCGGAGTAAAAAGCAGCACATATGCATATGAATGTACAGAAGGAAATACTTCCTGTCAAGGAGTCAGTTGAGAGTTACCTTCACCTACCAAGGGGAAGTATCCTGAGAAGTAACAAAGAGGGAGGAAGTAAAAAAGATGGTGGGGGTGGCCTAAGCATGACCTGGTGGTGGGTGCACTAGATGGCAATACTTGAAGGGAGTATCCAAATACTACTGTGATTAAAAACAAATTTAAATACTTAGTGAGCATCCACAAGATATAAAAGTAATCATTGCACCAAAGCAATCTGGAAAAGAAAGCCTCTTCTAGAAATTAATTCCCAAATCATTATATTCCGTAATATAAATAGAGATAATTGTTGATGATTAATATTAGCCGCAAATTTGAACCTACATCAATATTTAATCACAGTACCAAGAATGGAACATAAAAACACCTAGCAACATTCAGAACAAACTCTTTAAATATGACAAAGAATTCATATAGCATGAAAGACTTCAACAACATAGAAAGTAATGGCAAGATGAATTAAGAATACATTCATATTCACTGAATTCTATATCATTATTAAGAATAAATTTTATAAGGTCTTTAAAATGTGGACTGTGTTCCAAGTTAAATAAAATACAAAAATGTATGTTCACATTTCTTGTGGATCTTGAGTATTAGTCCCTTGTCAAATGTTTGATGTACAGATGTTTTCTCTAATTTGGTAGAGTGCCTTTTCATTTTAATGCTGCTTTCTGTCCCTGTGCAGAAGCTTTTTAGTTTCATGTGGTCCTGTTGGCCTGTTTTTGCTGTGTTTCCCTTTGCCAGCACTATGAAGCTATCTGCAGCCACTGCAGCATTAAGTTCAATCCACAGCCCTGGAGGTGACCCACATGGCATGGCAGACCTCTCCAGTATCACCAGTTGCCTCCCTCAGCAATATATGCATAAATTAATAAAATCTTTAAAAAAAACAACTTTGATCCTAGGATCAAGGAAAAGTGACTTCACATACAGCAACAAGTTTTCATTTAAATAGTTGTTACTGTACTCCAGAATATTATTCAGTCACAAAAAGAACCCTGCCATTTGTGATAGTGTGGATGAACCCTGAAGGCCTCAAACTAAATTAAGGAAATCACACAGAAAAAGACAAATACTGTATGATCTCACTTCCACGCAGAATTAAAAATAAACAAAAAAGCACCCAAAGGGGAAGAAACCAGATAAAGTGCTATGGATTATATGAGTGCATACCTCTCATTAAAAAAAATTGCACAGTAAAGACTTCGTGAGATATAATGCAAGGTTTTCCTAATATTGATCTTGAGAAATAAGTCAAACATAAAGTACCAGCATTCACGAAAAAAGTATTTAGCATAAAATATACATAACTGAAAAGATTTACCTCTCTTGTAAGCACACTTCTACCTATTTATTTATTTAATGCACACAAGAACTGGGGTACAGACCAGAGGTGCAGGCAGTGAGAGAATTCACCAGAGATAGAGTGGGGAGCAGAGCAGATGGATCCACTGAAATACACTGCTGAAAGAACAGCAAGCAGGTAAGGAGAGGTCTGCCACACTGTGTGATCACTTCACTGGCCAGCGATGGAACTCATGTAGCAGTGGCTGTGGATAGCTTTGTGCAATTATCTACAGGTAAAGTTGTGCTTTAACCCGTTGCACCACCAGGGAGGGTCCTCTTTCTACCTATTTAAGTAGCCCATAGGAACAAGTCTTACATAAAATTATAACAATCTAAATACAAGATCCAAAAATGTTGAGATATAGTCATCATGGATTAGTATCTACTACCAAGTCTTAGGAATTTTACTTACTATAAAACTTGCAAGAAAACATGTTAAAAACCTAAAAGTAACATTTATCTCAGATTACATGTATCAGTATTTAGAAGTTAGTTATATCCCAAACAAAATACTCTATATAACATTTCAAAGCAAAGTAATTAAAATAACCAAAGGAAATAATCTGTATCATGTTTAGTGTTGTAGACTTTTAATTCTAAAATTAGCCCAAGATCAAAACTTTCTTTTTCATCACAGAATCACCAACTCTAATTTCCTGGCTACTAATTTGCTTATGATCAGTAGCAACCAGAACAAAACGACAACGGGGCAGGGTCATCTCCCACAACCCATCCGTTGACCTCTCTTGCTAACCTGATTTCAGCTCATCTTCTCTTCACTCCACACCCCTCATTTGGGTGGCAAGCTTTCTGATGGCACCCGGCGGCATATGTAATGAGCAGCAACAGCACAAAACGTGTCATAGACATGGAGGAGCTGGGGCAGAGGCTGCTGGTAACTCTAAAGGTATGTACTAGCAGGATTCTTTATTGTTATGGTCCATGACAAAGAGTTGGCTTCATGCAATTAAATGATATAGTTATGAAAAAGAAGTTTCTTTACAAAAATTGCTTTTAATCAATTAATGAACCTTCTTTTATTTAGACAGATGTTCACATTTTCCTCAATATACTCTCATCATAGTAAACCAAAGTCCTCAAAGGTCTTACTGCTGAAGAAGACACATATATAAAATAATGACATGAGGGAATTTTCTTAGCATTTACTATGTATGTACTAGATAGGAACAGCAGAAGATGAGAAATATATAAAGTCTTTCTAACTAGTTAACCCTTATTTTCATCTCTACCACTCCAATCATCTTCAGACATCTTAAGAATCAATCAGACTTCTAGAAATGGCAAAGAAATGACCTTCCTGCTTTCCCTCTCTCAGAAATTCTCTAAAAGCATGCAGTACAAAGAAAAAAAAATAAAATTAATCTCAAAACAATGGAAAGTATAAAGACAGGCATGGCAGACTAAAAAGGCCTTGCAAATTCTAGGTCCTTCTTCCTCTTGATAAGTGGAATCCATTCCCCCTCAACCTCTGCTGGCCTTGACCAAGTGGAGTATAGAAAAAATACGATGTTCTGAGTCTACACTTTCACAAGGTTGGGAGCATTTACCCTGCTCTCTTGAAGCCCTGTGTACCCATGTAAGCATGGTACTTATGCTGAAGAAACCATAAAAAGAGGACAACACAGGAAGGCCAGCTGAGACCAGCCTTCCAAAAGGGTAATCCAGTCTCAGATCACCTGTACCAATTCAAGTTACAGGGTTATGTACGGAGAACAGGAAGCTGAGTCTGAGTCTTTTTCTAGGGGATAGGAAGTGGCAATATCAAGACATGTTTTAAAGAATTAATCTGGCAGTGGAATAAAAAAAAGGAATATGAAGTTGGGGAAGAAGTTAAGCTACCTCATTAGGCAAAGTATAACATGTTGAGATCCTAATTTGGGGTAGTAAATGTAGAAAGAAGGAAACTACCACATAGCACAGATTCATACCTAGAACAGAATAGGAACTCAAATCTTTGCTTGAATTAATGTTGAATGAATGGCCAGAGTTTATCTGAGATCGGATGTGCTTGTGTTTGGTTGTAAGGAATGAAGCAAAGGGAGATGTCAAAGGTGACTCCACAGTTATTAGACAATGCAACTACTAGAATGGTGATTGTGAAGTAATGAGGAAGATAGTACAAGGAATTTTATCTGAGAGGATAATGAGTTTGACTTTGGATGTGGGCCCAGTAACTCATTTGAGTTTCCATTAGGTACATGAAAAGGAAACAAGACAATGAAGGTAGATTGATAGAAATGAAACAGAATTTTAGAAAGAAAACAAAAAAGAAAAATGCAGGAAAGCAAGATAAAGAGGCAGAGGTATAAGGGAATGATAATGTTACCAAACCTAACATAACTTGGGACTCCTCAGGTCAGACAGCCCACTTTGGGCATTAGACCATCCCTCTGACTCCTAAAATCACCATATACAGTGGACTATCTAGTTACAGAAATGTACTCTCTACTCACTATTTTAGCTTGTAACTTTTTACAGTGTTTCATTCCCCACAACCAGACACCAGATGGCCCCAAATTATTCTGGACATAAGGAAGCTCCAGAGCTTCTACAAGAGGGCATGAACTCACCTACTGGAAACAGCGGAAATAAATAAAACCAGAAGAAATGTAAGTCTCTTATTTCCAGGTTCATCTCTTTTTTCACTGCTCACCTCTATGCATCCTCAACAAGTCCCTCCAGATATGAATACCTTTGAACAATGGTACTGGACACACATGGGAACAAATTCTCTTAACCAAGTGACACCACTTGCCTTTCTGCTATGTCACCCAAGAAAACCTTCTGGGATGGGCCTAATTTTCGTTAATTCATGCAACAAGTATATACTGATCGGGCACTGTTCTTGAGCCTGGGAGTACAGGTAATACCCTTGCTTTAACGGAGCTTATAGTGAATGAGACATCAAAATAATGCACAATAAAATAATTTCAGATAATTATCAGTATTATGGGTAGGGGTCAGATTAATTTAGATTAAATTATTGTCTCACTGAGGTGCTGTCTGAGCTGAGACTTGTACAAAAAGCTAACACTCAAAAAACACTTGGTATAAATGAGACATCTTATGTGGATTTAGTATTTACAACGCTATTTACTTACATTATCCAATATTTTACTGAGGAAATGAAGACACTGAGAGGTTAAATTAAACAAGGACAATCAGATTTCAGAACCCATACCTATAACCAATACAAAAATGAATGTTTACCTGAATTTGACAAGAGTGGTCAGAAAAGAAAACAACAGATTCAAAGATGGAAATTGTTCCATCTGAGATGGAAATGAGCTTGACAGCTTCAATTAACTAAAAAACCAGCATGGCCAGAGAGCATAA